TGGCCTGGCCTGCCTCTCGCACCCACAGTGTACACACACCGCAGCCCTGCCTGCCCCTGCACCGCGGGGCCTGCACAGAATTCCCGTCTGCGCCGAAGGAGCCCCAGGCTCCAGCCCGACCCAGCCCTGGGGACATGCCAGCCCCCACTCACCTGCAAGTCACGAGGGTAGCTTAGCGCGGCACCCTGCCTTCTCCCTCCTCCGTGCCGTGTGCCTGCCTGTCTTGCCTGCATGAGCCTCAGCTAATGCTGTTCCTGCTTTATTTTTAGTGTAAAGACACGCTCTGTCGATTGGAACAAAATCAGTGCAGAGACGGCACCAGAGGTCGGAGGGGCAGGGGGTTGCCTGTGGCATGTTCCCGGGTCACGGGACTGTTCTCAGAGCAGCGTTTCTGCAGCTGCGGCGTCCGGCCCCTGTGCAGACAGCTGGGGCTCAGAGCCACAGTGCCAGAGCAGGCTGGGCAGAGGCTGGGGTGTCAGGCCCTGGGCAGTCCCCCTCGCACCCCGTCCTGAGGGCAGAGTGGTGGAAGACCCCAGGCCTGCCCACGCCTCACCCTCAGCCCACGTGGCCCAGGAGCCCGCAGCCCCGGCCTCCAGCCCGCAGGCATCCGTGGCAGGAGGCGTGCCAGGCGTGTGTCCTCTGGTGACTCGCAGCCAGGCCTCTCCCTCACCCGGAAGTGCACGACTCTCCCCAGGGCTGAGTTCTCAAAGGTGGGGCGGGACGTAGCCGTAGCCGGGAGCCACAGCGATCTCTGAGCCGATCTGAGGGAGGGAGGTGCTTTCCTGGCTCTCTGACCCCAGTGCTGACTCTGAAGCTCACCTGTGAGGTTAGGACGAGCGTGGAGAGTTCGTTACAGTGCAGGTCTCAGGCCTCCCCTGAGGGTTCAATTCGGGAGGTCTCGGGGACCCCGGGGCTGTGTCACATTCACTGCCAGGTGACGCTGAGGCCTGCGGTCCTAGAAGCACAGGTGGAGGATTAAAGTGCACCCCACTGCCACCCCCCCCCCCACACACACACACACTTCCCTGCAGCTCATTCAAGAGCTCAGCCCAGCACCCTCAGCACCTGGGCCTCCCCCACCCAAGGCGGGGCCCCCAGCCCCAGCGCCACCTTCCAGGGCACAGGCCTGTGAAGAGCAGCACAGGAGCACGAGGGATCCGAGGGCCTTCCTGCCTCCAGGCCTCTCAGGGCCTCCCGGACCGGGGACCAAAGGAGGCTGCTCTGAGTGAGGCCACCTCTCAGCTCCTCCCCTCCCCTCCCCTCCCCTCCCTCTCTCCAGGTCTCCGCCCCGGCCTAGCCCGGGCAGCCTGCACTACTCTGATGAGGATGTCACCAAGTACAACGACCTCATCCAGGCAGAGAGCAGCAGCCTGACCGAGAAGCCCTCGGAAGTCTCCGACTCTCAGGTTAGGGGCGACGGACCGGGGGCGGAGCAGCCCCTCCCGAGAGCTGGCTGGCCTGTCCGGGCCCAGCTCCTCCCCTTCGTGGGCCGTAGCGACTCAGGGGCCCCAGCAAGCGATGTGGAAGTCAGATACAGGCCAGCTGCACCTCCCAGGCTCTGCTCAGAGTTTGCGCCCGGGGCTCACGGGGTCCCTGGAACCGTGATCCTGTGAGACACCCCGAGACCGTGGTCCTCACACTCTCAGGAGGCACCACATGCTCAGTCACTCAGTGGCTCCGGCCTGTCAAGGCCCGAGAAGGTGAGGAGAGGGAGGTTGACACAGCAGCCTGTCTTGCCAGAGCCCGGAGAACCGATACACTGAGCTAGTCGGGGTCAGAGTGCACCCCAGAAATGGAAGGCTGGGTGCCCTGGAGCCCCCTGGCTGGGAAGCAGCAGGGACTGAGACGGCATCAAAGCTTTGGAGATTCAGACCTGCGTTTGAATCCTGGCTCTGCTGCCGGTGAGCTGGGGCGTCCTGGGTGCGGTAGGGAAGCTCTCTGAGCCTCAGTGTCTCCATCTGTAGAATGGGCAGGATAGCAGCAGGCTCTGGGGGGGCTGTGGGGAGGATTCGCTGAGATTAGGCAGAGAGAAGCTTAGCACAGGGCCTGGCATGCGGCAGCCGTTCAGTAATTGTCAGCTCACGTATTAAGGAGGGGACGGTGCCTCTGGGAGACAGAGCCCCAGAGCGGCTGCCGTTAGGTGGGCCACGCGGGGACACTCTGTCCCAGGCTGAGGGGAGAGGGGGTTGAGTGCGTTCCGATGAGGTGATGTCACAGCCTCCCACCCCAGCCCTTTCGCCCTTGGCCATGCCTGGTGGCTGCCCGGGAAGGACCGAGAAAGGCCACTGAGTCCCACGCCCTGGACCTTTCTGCCCAGTCCTGGGAGAGGACGAGAAGGAAGAGGTGCCAGCAGGGAGCAGGGCTGTGGGCCGTGTGAGAGGTGCCAGCCAGCCTGGATCAGGCTGTGGGCCTCGTGGACCAGGGCCCCTCGCCCACGGCTGCCTTGTTCGGCTCCAGGGTTTCTGATGGGCTCAGCGGAGCCATGGAGGCGGGAGCTCACGCCCCCGCTCAGCTGGCAGGGACAGAGACCCTAGCTCAGCCTGGCGCCCAGGGACTCACGTGACTCAGACCCTGGCATCCTGTTCGGAGCATTTAACCCCTTGCAGCCACGTGCATACGGGGACTCACAGGGCCATGCTTCCCTGAAGCATGGTTTTTCTCTTTTTCCCCCCCAAACACGGTGATGAGCAATTGGATTCTAGGCACTCAAGGTAAAGTTCAAAAACACAAGGAGTTCAGCTCCAACCTGTCCAAGGGCTGTCCCAGGGATGTGTTAAGCGAGAGTCGGGCCTGGGCAGTGCCAGGCGGGACCGTATGGGTCTGCTTGCTCTGGAACGGTCCCTCAGCTGCAGCCTGACCCCTATGCCTCCGGGTCAGGTGGGAATTTGTGCTGTGACAGCTAAGGAGGCCGGATGTCAGTGTCTGTCTGGGGTGGTGAGGGTGGTGGGTGCAGGACTCATTCTTGAGCCTGTACCCTGAGGCCATGGAGGTGATGGGGATGCAGCCCTGGCTCCCAGGAGCTCCCTGAGGGCTGGGGGGACAGGCAGACAGGCGCCAGCCTCCCTCTGAGGCCCTGTCACCAGCATAAGGAAATCCTGTGACTGGTCTCTCGCCCCCGCGAGGACCAGCCCAACTGCAGACAGTGTGTGGATTGTGGGGCGTCCCCTGTTGCGACTTTCAATCTGGGGCTCATGGTGGGTGCCCCGCGATATGAATCCTGCTGGGATGGTGCCTCAAGGGCATGGCCCTCAGCGTCAGGGACAGCGGGGCCCCCCTCCGTGGGCTGCTTGGGCGACCCTGTCCTTTGAAGCCCGCTCCCCCAGGTCCTCTGAGGGTGAGCCGTGCATGTGCCGCCTGGTTTATGTTCTAAGTCAGACCACCCAACACTCCCTCCCCAGCACGGGGGAAATTAGCCAGCCGGTTCCCTGTGATGGTCAGCCATAAACAAAATGTCCCGGTTTCTTATAAACAGACACACATGATAGGAGGTGAGAAAGGCCGTAATGGGCTGTGGTGAAGGCTGGGGGGCTGGCTGTCCCCAG